CACACACGCAGACAGTCTCTCACCGCAGGCGAGGCCGGGGGTGAAAGAGCTGCTGAGAGGCTGGGATTTTTCCAGCAGCTGCTGAGCCGAGCACAACAGGGCTCACACAGCTACACAAGGAGGCACTGAGTACCTGGCGGTGACACACCCACCCCGGAGACCCCGTCCTTGGAGCGCTTCCATCGGAACATGCGGGAGGCCTCTGGGCTTGGCGGAGGAAGGAGGCCAGAGCCGTGCGCCAGGCTGCTGGCCTCTCCTGCCAGGCCTGCCCCAAAGCTGCCCCACCTCTCATCTGCTGGACACACCCACGGACGGTCCCTCCCTTGGGGCTCCCAGGCAGAGGACCCCTTGCGCCCCACCCCCACCCCCGTACCCGGCTGGCAGAGTCTCCAGCGCCTGGACTGCTGCCTGGGAGGCCTGGACACCTGGGCCTGCCTCCTCGGCCTCTGCGGGGGGCTGAGCCCTGCTGGGCTGGGGGGGCACCTCCGGGGCCCCAGCCGGCTCCTCCTCGGCCTCGGCTGCAGGGCTCTCGGACTCTCCGTTCCCTGCAAAGACAGAGCCCCTCCCTTGGCTCAACAGCGCCTTCCCTACCGTGGCACCGATGCCCCAGGCGCCCCCAGGAGCCCCAGCCAGAGGGCAACGTCAGGAGCCCCCCCCCGAGTGCAACTGTCAACTTAGGGGCTGCTGGTCAGGCCTCTCCCTCTGCCCAGGCCAACCTGCCGTGCCCTGGCTGTCCTCCTGGCCTCTGCCCAGCTGCGGAGACTGGATCTTCAGGCTTGGTCTCTGCTCCAGGGGGGTCACATTCTGCCTGGGGGCTTCCGCTGCCGACCCGGGGACTCTGGGGAGGAAAGAAAGGGAAGATCACCACTGGCAGCGCCCGCCCCCCCCCCGCCCCACGCCCACACCTCCAGGTGGTGGGGCTGCCCCTGCACCGGGGATTTAGTCCCCCTGGCTCCTGGGCCAGAGGCCTCCGTGTCCCTCTGGGGGGCCTGACGGGGCTCCTTTTGGGAGCCCCAAGGTTTAGCAGCCCCAGGAAATGCTTGGCGCAGAGGCCACCGTGCTCCTGCTGGGCCCCAGCATCCCAGGGGCCTGGGGGGCCCAGCGGTTTGGAATGAAGAGGAGGGCTGGGCGCCCCTGGCTGAGGGCTGAAGGGAAAGGTCGGGAAAGCGGCTCTCCCGCCCTCGCCCGGGCCAGCCTGTCCCTGCTCGGCACCCCCATTGCAAGGGCCACTCAACGCTCCAGGCCGGAGCCAGGGAGGGGCCTCTCTTGGGGAACTCCAATTCCCAGAATCCTCAGCCAGGCGGGCTGCAGAAAGATGGGCTGCCCCCTCCCCTCAGGCGCTCGCAGAACCGTGTTATAAGACTGATGCCAAAGATGAATTAACACAGTCAACCCACTGACTCACCTGATAGGAGGGGCACGATCCCACATACCCAAAATGCCCTGGGCCTAACACCAGGCTGGGCACAGGGGAGAGGAGAGGACCCTGCAGAAAACCAGCCCACCAACAAGGGCAGGAGGCTCCCCTGGCATGCTGTGCCCCCCTCCCCTCCGTGGCTGCTTCCAAGGGACGACGGATTGGCAGAGGGCTGGGGGTAGCCTTCCTGACTTGGCCCCGCCTTTTAATGGCTCGTGGAAGTGAACCAGGGCAGTGCTTATAAGGCAGCGCTTAACTTGGGAGCCGGGCAGCAACAGCCACAGGCCAGGGGAGGAAGCCAGGCCCTCGGTTTCCCCACCCAAATGCCCGTAGGAGGCCCAGGAAGCAAACGGGCAGAGCAACCAAGGAGACTGGGGTGGGGGGTGGCAAAGGAGCCCAGTCAGCCAGTGGGGCAGGGGCTGCGGCTCCCCTCCCTGACTCCTCACTCAGGAAAGGTGCAGCGAATGGGGGGATCGCCCCCCCCCATCCCGAGAGGGTGGGTTTGAGGAGGGGCAGCTCCTGAGTCGGCACGCCAGGGAGTATTTGCTGCCGCCAAGGGACCCACGGGGAGCCTGGTGAGGGCCCCTGAAAAGGCCCCGCAGGCCCACCTCAGCCAGAAGGGCAGGGCAGGGCAGGATGCCTGGGGGAGGGGAGCCCTGGGGCGGCTCTCCTCCCACTGCAGCCCAGGGAGCCTTCGGGCATCTGCCCCCCTCCGGAGCCTTACCTGGACCAGCCACCAAGACAGGTTGTGCTGGGGGCCTGGGGCCTGTTCTCCGAGGATGCAGCTGGGCCCCCGGACTCCCTCCTGGCTCCCTGCGGTCCTAGAAGAGCAAGAAGCTGGGAAACGCACGGAGCCACGCCGGGGCGGCGGCGGCCGCCCCCCCCCCCCCCCCCCCCCCCCCCCCCCGGACGGAGGGCTTGCGGGAGAAGGCCGGCCTGGAGAAACGGTGCAGGATTTCTGTGGGGCAGCTCCTGGGTGGGTGCTTTCCGGCAGGCCTCGGAGCCCCTTCCCAGAAGGCGCCAGCCCCAGCCCCCGACCAGAGGGTGCAGCGTGGGGGGGGGGTTCCTGCAGGCTCCCCAGGGAGCATCCCCGGCTACTGCAGAGGCAGGCGGGGGCGGGGAGGGGCACCCGTTGGGGGCAGCTGCTGCTTGCTCACCTTCGTCTGCTGCGACAACGCCATTAGTCAGGCTGCCCGCCTCAATGCCAGGCCCATCCAGGAAGACGGTCAGCTCACCGCCCGAGAGGAGGCCGCCTTTGTTCTCGGCCTGCAGGTTCAGGGTCATCGGCTTGGTCTCCACTGCGAGGGCGAAAGCCACGGCCCATCAGCGCCCACAAGGCCCCAGCTCCGCTCTCTTCCTCTTCACCCCCACAGCCCGCAGGGGCCACGGCCTTCCCTCCTGGGGCCAGCAGGAGCCCAACTCCAGCCTCAAGGCAGCCTGCAGAGACCCTCCACCCCCTGGCCCGGTTTCCAGAAGGGACCCGCCCAGCAGCCCCCCCCCCCCCCCCGGTCTCCTTTCATGCTGGGGGAGATGCCCCATAGTGACCCTCCCCGTCTGCTCTGCCCCACCTCCGCAGTCCAGTTCCCCACTGCTGCTCCACCCCAGGTCCTCTTTGCCTCCCCATAGATGAGAGCCCCCCCCCCTCCCAGCAGAGGGTTCAGCTCATCCCTTCAAAAGCCCCCCTTGTGGGCCCCCCATCAGGCCAGACCCCCTTCAGTTGCCCCCGGGGGCTTCCCCAGAGAGGGGTGCAAGGGCAGGCCAGCCTTGAGTCGGGCAGCAGAGCTTCCCTTGGCTGGGACTCCCACGGGAGGTCGGGGGGGGGGG